CGTGTGTAATTAAGCTATGAATTCCATTCAACTGAGAATCGTGGAGTGTGACGACTGGCATAGCTCACCTGGTAATTTATAACCACAACGGAATTTGATAGTTTATTTAAAGAGGTTTAATTATGTCATAGCCTCATCGGGAGGGCAAGAACAGCTAAACAAAGCATAAATTCACATCAGTATTATAGCGAGTTTGTATAAGATGAGTAATGACAATATAAAGTTATGCTGAATTTCGATCGACGATGCTTGACGTAGAAATAGTAGGGATGTTGGTTGATCACTGGAGATTTCATTTGTTTATGCAATTGATTAAATTGTTATATTTTTACATATGGGGCTGGTATTATTCTATTCAATATCTCTGCTCATATTTATGTTATTCGGTGCCTTAATTTTATATTTTACTTTATTGCTTACTCGATAATAGGTAATGATAACCCAAATTCATAAGGAGTGTTATGAATTATGGAGATAACATACGCGACCACCTCCTGATAACTCCTTTACCTTCTAAGACCAAGAAGACAAACTGGTTATTCATATGAGTTTGAAAGAAAATATAGTTTGGATTACGACATATGTGTGTATGCATTGTCTCGCAACTCAACTTATAACCTTTACGATACTTACTTCAAATTTTAATATGGGGAGGGTGGTTGTGATGGGTAGAAGTGCTTTACGTTTGCGAGGTAGTTAATTTCATTTTGCATACATGCGTATATACAGGGGCGGGTAAGGTGAAGTGAAACCTGGAAGAGCTTGTGGATAATGCTGCTTTGCTCTAGATTTCTGGTGATTGATGTTTTATTTTTTTGCAAAAGACTATTTTTTTATTACTTAATGAGTCGCCCTAGCGACAGAAGAAAACATATTCCTTTCAACCGACAACGAATAAGAAGTTATATGGTTATTTTTTTTTAGCAAAGACATGTCTCCCATCTCCTCTCCGACAATTAATGTCATTCTCTGACAGACACGAGGAAAGTAAAAAAACAATTCTTCAAGGTGGATGTAAAATAAAAATGTATCCTTTAACAAATATATAACGCCAATAGTTGATATTTTATGTGAAGAACTGGATGTTCACTGGTGTGAGATATCTTAGAAACCATTATTGGTGACAAATAATGTCTTTTGATGTTGATAATATTACCAAGGGAAGCGATGCTACTTACAGTGAAACCTAAATACAAAGGGACATTTAAATGTTCTATACTTTATGGACAGGTGTAGTGTATTTACAGTTTTTTCTCGGTTCATTTTATAAGGAAAAAAAGCATTCGCATTCTGTCCAATAGGGTATAACTGACTTGGTTATATACATAATAAAATTGTAAATATGCCTGCAAACTTTCATTTTTCTACCTCAAATGGATTTTCTTTAATCGTTCTTATAACTTTGATGTTTAGAATGTATATATCCAAACACTGTGCTGACAATAGAAAAAATTGCTCAGACGGTCAGAGACTCTAACCCTCTCAGCTACATTATTATCACAGTCTTGATTAGATGATCTCGTCAATCTTGTAGATAATCAATGGTTCAATGCTTTCAATGAGTAATGCACAGCTCGCAGGGGCAAAATGGTCAAGAAATAAATATTCTATGAAACCATTAAGTCTAAATTTCAATTTTTTCTATATGAAATGAAAACACTGAAAAATCTGAGAAAGTAGAACAAATGCTAAATGACCTGTCTGCATTAGAAATAATTCTCCATTTTAATCTCAACATTTCTGCATATATGACTTTAATTTCATTCATATTTAATTATTAATTAAATTTTGATAAGGAATATGCATGCCACCCGCAGATAATTGAAATTGGCATAAGCTATCGCTTTCCATTACGTAGACCTATTCATTGAAGTTTATTGACATCGAGTTAAATAAACCTGTGAGGATCACCAAAAAGACTCGCAAAATATTACCCTTTAGCCAATGATCCTCAACACTGAACTATATAAGTATTAGGTAACTAGACTAGGAAAGGGTTTTTAATCTGCCACCGCTGCCTCCAAAATGCTTAAAAACTGAGTAACCGTTGAAACTTTTCTATAATGCCATAAAAATCTAATAAGGGTGTGTGTGTGTATATATATATATATATATATATATATATATATATATATATATATATATATATCAACAGCCCACACTCGAAAACATTATTGGTAAACTAAATTTAGCCCTCGATTGCTGTTTTCAATATCCTAGCTTGCTTAGAGAATTTTTAATTAATTATATACTTTTTCTGCATGATGTTATACATTATAACTGGTGGTTTCAAGCAATAAATTGTACAGATTTTCAAAAGCAGCATTAAGTGAAAGTTCCTCAGCCCATAATTACTATTCCATTATTTTTTTATCGTGATCTTTTTTTTTTTAAATTCACGATTGATGCAATTTCAATAATATTATATTTACTTAGATTTGTGACTGTTTTCCTCTTCATTGTGAAAAAGTACGAATATTCAGACTCGTTTAGTGTTTTAAGTCATCTCTACTGATCTTCTGTAACGATTAAAATAAACTATAACCACCACCACCTCGACAATTATAGTAAAACTACCCGAATCCTTGTGACAATTAAAATACCTCTCGCGTAGCTCATAGAGATAACTGCCTTGCGAAATGTCTGATAAAGGACTACATAAACGATTGTAAGAATGAAAACGATGATTACCAAAAGTCTTATAAAGTCTCTGATTGGTTGAGAGTTTAGTAGGCGTTCTTAATTAGAAACTGATCAAATACATCATATTGCTTATTGTTTTTTTTACTAGTTTGACCAATTACATCAAATATCCATAGACAATACAGGGTTTATTTTCAGCATGAAAATGTTGCAATTGTCAGACAGTGACAGAAGATCTCGAACAAGCCCAAAAAATGGCGAATGGTCGGATATTTACTTCACTACCTGGAAAGAATGAACAAATATGTAGTCTCCAATAATTGTATGAGGTCTAGTAACTGACATTTATGTGAGTAATATTGTTTGTGTTATTTACAAATTTTGAGGCCCAATTTTGATACGACTCATACAAGCCGTTAACCCAACTGAGTCACGCAAGTCTCTTTCGTAGTATAGCATTCAGCCGAATGTTGCATATAAAGTAGTTTAGTGTTTCTAAGAAAGTTAGGCCTAGATTGAGTGAATCTCATTTAGCCCGTGGCAGAGAGATAAGAAAAGAGTTTACTCGTCCTAAATATAGATTTGACGTGAAAAGAATAAAGTGAGCACTAAATCTGAACTAGTGAAAATGTCTGAATTCACACGAATCTCAGAAATCTGACTTACAAGCGATCTGATCAGTGTCATCTCAGAGTGTGATGATGATACGGACAAATTTCTGAATCCCTTGGCTTGGATGGACTTAAAAGACGTTGAAGGATCGCACAATAGACAAACTTTAAGGGCAGTTACACAAACTAAGTAATATAATATCAAATTTACCACCTAATATGCTCATTCATGAGATGCTGTTTAAAGCCCAAACAAATGTTACGGTGGAATATTTGTTAGTGAGGATCTAACTAAACCTAGTAGTAAGATATTTTTCGAAGCATTGAAGACACTGAAATCCACCCGTACATCCAAATGACATTTCATTTCATTTTTTACTCTGATTTGTATTACAGCATATATTTTCCTAAATTGTTCAGTACTTTATTTGTTCAGTTCGCATATTTTGACATTTTGCACTCTATTAGAGAAGAGCGTGTATAAAATTATTGCCACAATAGTACATTTGTTTTACAAGTTTAATACTAGTGTAGAAAGGTGTGGTTGTTATTTTTTTCTCTAAGTAATTGATATCTCTGCATAAGAAGAATGAGCAGAGTAGATATAATTATTGATATGCTAATTTATATTGAAATCGTTATTTTATGCTTTGACAAATTATATTCATTTTCTACATTGTCACAATAATTTATTTTGAAATGTTACTGTGAAATCGTCGTCTTTCCAATTGGTTGTATATTTTACGAAATTCTTATTTTAAAATTTTCTCTTTATCTATTTATATTCGTACAAACAATGTATTGAATAGTATGTATTCACTAGTAATGTCTCCGATAATTTATGATACCATTGTTTATATCTTAATCGACATCATTTAATAACAGAATGCATGTGGTAACAAAATTCTGCAGCAAGTAAGTAGTGTATTGTAATTTTGTTACTAGCTACCTTCATTTTCTCATCTGCTTTTACCATATTATTTTGCCACAAAAGCCTTTGTATATATTTCTGCATTTTTGTACAAGATCCCTTTGAAACTAGCATTAGCATTTCTGTAAACACTTAAGATGTGCATATTTAGATCACAACATAACTACGAAAGACCACATTACAGTGTATGGATTCTCGTTTATAATGAAAATTGTAACTTTATTTTCCTAACTGCCCACGATAATTATAATTAGTACAAATGTTGCTATCCTATTTGTTATTTCATGTTTATTTACCCCCTTCTTTAACACTTTGTGCAATTGGCATCAGACTGACATGTATTTAATTTTCGCAACGCAAATATTTGCATATGTATGCTTTGTAGTACTGTACACTTCTACGTTCTTTGTTGACATTAATTGCTGATTCGTAGTATTTTTATATTGCCATTTGCGCACTGCTAGGGAAGAATGCTTCAAAAAATTCTATAAATACTTGTAATTGTCACAAGTTTAACAATAGTGTAGAAGTCGTGGTTGACAAATACAAACTATTTAATTGCAATCTTTACTTTACTAAGTTTGTTTTCTTTCTAGTAACCATATATAACTTGCTTTCAGAATAAACAGGTAACAGAACAGTGCATATTAGTTTGAAGTATCTACATCTTCAATGCATCTCTAAGTACGACTACTACATTGTTTCTAGCTAATAATATCACATTTCACTCAGAAAGCTTTACATGCATTTTTTTCTCACTACTTTATTGCAAGATCTCTGTGAAACTCAAAACTACAATCATGAAGACAGAAACCGTCACGATGACCTAAGTGGTTAGAACGTCCACCTCAAATGCGGGAGGTCGCAGGTTCGAACCCTATTCGAGTCATACCAAAGACTAACAAAAATTGTACAAGCAGCTGCCTCTCTTGGCGCTCAGCAGAAATAAGTGCTAGGAATGGTCCTCTTAATTTTAGGATAATGTGACTGGGTGGAACGCGATGCTACATGTCTACAGCATGACACACCAGTGCTAGACATTACTATACACTGCCATAATGCAGACGTAGTAGCAATATGACTAAAATTATTAAAGTTCTATTAAATATAAAAACCCACACACACACATAAAGACGGGTAGTTTATAATATAACATGATGTTTAATATTACAACGGTGTCATGGAGATTGATGCAAATATCTAAGATGCTTGCTCAGCCACCAATTACAACTTATGTTTGAATGGAGAGGCGCACGTAAAATAAATTTCGGTGTTTGAGAAACATATAGTGGTCAGCTTATCAAGGTTTAATGATACAAGCCAAAACATGTTGAGAGATAACAAAATTGGGAAAAGTAGCTACGGAAGGGGCAAGTGCTCCCCTTTCCCACAGCATTGCCCCCATGTGCTGGCGCCTATGGATGAACATTGTTATTATGTTTTCATATTTTGTCTTTCATTTTATTTTACTTCTATTCCTTACAGTATTATTTGTTCTTATGAAGACAAATCATGCGAATGTGTTTTGAGACATGTACTACTCAGCATAATATACTTGAATACTGTGGATATGGCTGGACGGAGCTTCATTGTGCCAACTAGCTCGTTATTTATCGTCTTATGACAATCACTTAAAATCTCGTAAAAGCATTATATTGCTATCATGAAATTTTATCGTCTTAATTTCAAATTTTAACTAATGTTTATTGCTTTATGATCATGGTCCTAAGATGCGATGATAGTAATACATCTATATTGTTTCAAGTGCGCAAGTCCTCACTGATTTCAAAGGAGGATAAAATTGGTAGATAACTACAGACGCAATTTTGCGAAAAAAAATTCTCATATAATTAATATCATTTTCACATTCTTTCTTTTGCACGTTCTATTTTCCTAAGTTTTGATCACGTGGTTGTGGAATTGACTCATAATAGCTGGTGATATTAATCCTAATCTGGAACAAAATTCTGCCACCTCCTTCGGTAATTCCTCATATGACTCACCTAGTTCGTTCTCACAGTCTACCCGACTTTTCACACCAACTATCCATTATGTACTATAATGTTCAAAGTATTTTGTACAAAATTAAATTCTTCAAACTTTGAAACTTGGCTTGATCCCTCTATTTGTTTTGATGACTTTTCCCTCCTATTTTACTAAACCCCAATCACAAAAATATAGGTGATACTTGCAGTAGTGCAATAGTATATGTGAAAGAAACACTTCATTCCCAGAGGCGACGGGATCTTGAACTAAATTCGTTAGAATGTTTAAGGATTGAAAATTCACTTACAAAATTCTATCAAGCTTAATCTAAAGACATCCAAATGCAACAACTTCAGCGATACTTCAATGAAAGAAGACTCCTGTTACGTGCCTCGGCTCAAACAAAAGTAACAAAGAAAAGAATGAAGCCAGCAAGGCTTGTAGAATTTAACAAAATAAAAAAGTTCCCTAGAAAACCAGGTGAAATATGAAAAAGGACTTACGGTTTGTGAATCTAATCTAAAATTAATAATAAAATTAATAATATAAGTATAAACACTAAAAATATACATTCTAAATGAATCAATGTTCGAATTCCAATGAAGTTCCAAGATGGAAGGCGATGAGTTCTTCTATAACCTGTTTAGTTCTATCGTGTTATAATTTCCTTGTTAAATTTTATGAATCAAGAATAATATCAGAGCTTTAGAATTCCAAACGATTTTCAGTAAAGGACTTTGTCCAAGAATTCTGATGAGCACTAGATACAGTTTCATAGGAAAATAAATTATTCTAAATAAAATCACATTTCAAACTAGCAACAACAATAAAAATATACCTTTGAGCCTGAAGGTATGAATTACGACTAACTAGAAAAACAATATCATACGTCACTTCAAGTCCGGTTACAATGCAAAACCGACCAACGCCATGGACAAATTTAACTATACTGAACGTTTATAAGATTGAATAGAAATGAAAAGTGTTTCTTTATATATGGCCTGATTACGACCAATGATTTTCACTCTAGGAAAGAAATAAAAAAAAATTGTTTACCAGTTCTGAATCAAGGTTAGGACCTAAGTTAGATAAAAACTTAATGAACCCAATGTAGTAATATGTTTATTTATCAGGTCAAAACAGAAATGAACTGAATTTATCAGAAAAATGTCAAATCTTGTGAATAAAGTTCTCATTACATTATGACGTAATGAAATAAAAATGAAGTAAAAAATTTAAAACTAGCCCGCAAATAATTACATTACATATACGTAACACTTCCCACATAAACAAGTTTTATAAACAAAACTTTCTTTTTTACTATTTGTTAATATGCATGAAATAAAAGAATTACATAAGAACTTTTAAGAATTTTACATAGTACATGAAATAAAATTTCTAAACATTGGAAAGTGCATCTGCAGTTAAAATGTCTTTACCCTTCGTATCCCTGATGTCAGGATTATATTCCTGTAACAACAAACTCCACCAAAATGATCTTTGACTTTTGTTCTTCATATTATCGATGAAAGTAAGGGGATTGTGATCACTAAATACAACAATCGGAGAAGAAGCTAAACTAATGTAAACTTCAAAATGTTGTTATGCCAATATCAAAGCCAAATATCCCTTATCTATTGCAGATTAATTTCTTTTGGTGCTTATTTAATTTCTTAGCACAATAGCACACTGGATGATCAACACCATTTCTATCTTCTTTAATCAATACTACTCCAACCTGAACATCACTTGCATGAACAGATAGTTTACATAACTGACTGAAATTTGCGGCTGTTAAAAACTGGTCCACTCTTAAGTATAGCCATTAACTTTTCAACCGCTTCATGACATTTATCAATCTAAAGAAAGTTGTTTTTCTTCCTCAAAAAATTTGTCAGGGGTTAAGCAATATTAGAAAATTTAAAATAAATCTCTGATAGTATCTACAAACAAATTCGCATCATTTGCTGTTTTCACTGACATTCACATGATATTTAGAGATAGCTTTGACATTAGCATCCATAGGTTTAACTAGCCCATGTCCCACAATATGTCCTAGAAAAGTTACATAAGCACGGCAGAACTTACTTGTGCATAAATTGATTGTCAGACTGGCATGAGTGAGTCTGTTGAAGACTTTCCAAATTGTTGCTAGATCTTCTTCCCGGTTGTCGTTGTAGATAATTACATCATCGATATAAGTATCACTGTTATCTAGACCAGAGTCTAGAGTAATCATATTCATCCAACGTTGAAAAGTACTTGGCAAACTCTTTACCCTAAACGGCATCACTTTGAATTCATAAGGTCCATCTTGAGTCACGAAGCTGAAGTTTCCTTTGTCCTTTTCGTTAGTGTAATTCGCCAGAATCCTTGATGAAGGTCAAATTTAATAACATGATTGGCATTTCCAACTTTATCAATGCAATTGTCTATCCTTGGTTACGGAAATTAATATGTTTATGTTGCACTGTTCACCTTCATATAATCAATACACATACAGAAAGTTTTATCTGGTTTCGAAACAAGAATACATTGTGAACTTCAATCACTTGTACAGGGCTCTATGAAATCATTCTTCAGCAAATACTGAATTTTGTTTTCCTGTATGGGTGTTATATTACAGGTTTGGAATTCACAATTTCAACGCCATGAAAACTTTTGTTTCTCCTCTTAGAAACATCTGGAGGTGGTGTTTGTAATTTTTAACGTGGCTTTTAACAATGTTTCAGTCATATCGCTACGATATATGCAGTAATGCAGTTTATGGTGATGTCTAGCACTGGGGCATCATGCCGCAGACATGTAGCATGATGTACCACCCAGTCACATTATCCTGACACCAGGCCGACCAGTCCTAACACTAACTTCTTAATGCTGAGCGTCAAGCGAGGCAGCTGTTGGTACCATTTTTGTAAGTCTTTGGTATGACTCGACATCTGGAAATAAGTGTTCAAATAATCACATTTAAGTTCATTACCTTGTTGTGGTTGAAATTGTAAAAGTGTCTAGTCCAGATTATTAATAATTTCCGAATTCCAAAGATTTGTGACTCCATCAACAGTAGAGTCCGATTGAATTCCTTCACATAAATCTATAACAGAAAACAACAGAAAATGAACACATTCATCCCTTTCCTATCCAGTATCAAAGCAATATGATCTTCAAAGTCAGATGAAATCTTTCTAAAGCCCCTTGTCTCACAGGGTGATAGGGATATGATTTGAATTGTTGAATGCTTAATTCCTACATAACCTGCTGAAATGTTCCAGACATAAAATGTAATCCTTTATCCGATTGGATATATTTGGGAAGACCAAACTCAGCAAGAAAATTCTTATCAAATCTTTTGCTATAGTTTCAGTTTTAATATTCCTCAAAGAAATTGAATATGGGAATTTCGTTGATGCACACATTATGGTAAAAATGTATTGGTTACCTGACTTGGTCTTAAGTAAGGGAGCAACATAATCGACCACTATTCTGATGAATGGTTCGTCAATTGCAGGAATAGGTTGCAGATGAGCCATATGCATCTTCGGATTAGGTTTTCCTACCATTTGACAAATATTACAATATTTACAGTGTTTACAAACATCCCTTTTGATTTTTCGCTAATAAAAATGAGTCAATATATTATGATAAGTCTTATAAATCTATAAATTATCATTCAGATATGTTTCATGGGCCAGACTAAACAATTCCTATCTGTAAGATATTGGGATTAATGTATGATAGTTCCCTGACCACTCCTCATTAACAGGTACCTCGGGAGGTCTCCATTTACTCATAAGAATTCCATTTTAGATGAAATAGCAGAAGTTCAGTAGCTTTAGTTTCACTAAAGGCCCTCTGAACCGAACAGGAAATTGCAGGATCTTTTACCTGTTCGAATACACGTGATGGTCGTTTGT